GCTTCCCGTCCTTAACTGGATCCATAAAGATTAGAGACTAGAAAAGCTTATCAGGTAGTTCTACTCTGTCATATAGGGTTGCTATGTGTCAGAATTGTCTTATTGGCATATAATAACAACAACAGCTATGCACACTGTTGTTATTAGGTGCTGTCAACAATACAACAGAATGAAAAACTGCCTGCTCCTGCACCATCCTCAAAATCGTTATGCCTGAGTCCTTTGTTCCAGCCACTGTGTGAATTCATCTTGTTGAGGACTTCCCCTTGTTCAGACCCTCTACTTTACCAACCATGATATCCTTCTATAGGGACTGGTCATGCCCAACAACATGACCAAAATACGAGAGAGGAAGTCTGACCATTCTGAATTCTAAGAAGCATTCTGCCTGTATTTCTTCCAAGACAGATTTGTTCATTCTTCTGACAGTCCATGATATAGTCAATGTTTACCAACACCATAATTCAAATGCAACAATTCTGTGGTTTTCCTTCTACATCGTCCAGCTTTCACATGTATATGAGGCAACTGAAAATAATATGGCATAAGCCAAGGACACCTTAGTGTTCAAAGTGGCATCTTACATAAATACTTTTTTTAAAAAAATACATCCTTTGATTTCTTGACTGCTGCTTCCATGGGCATTGATTGTGAACCCAAGTAAAATGAAATCCTTCACAATTTTAATCTTTTCTTCACTTATGGTGATGTTCTGTATTGGTCTGATTGATAATTCTTTTTTTTTTTTTCCTTTTTTAATGTTGAGGTGTAATCCATATTGAAGCCTGTGGACTTTGATCTTCATCAGTAAATGTTTCAAGTCTTCTTCACTATCCACAAACAAAGTTGTGTCATCTGCATATATTAATGAGTCTTTCTCCAATCCTGATACTGTGTTCTTCTTCATAGAGTCTACTTTCTCAGTTGATTTTCAGCATGCAGATTGGATAAGTATGGTGAAAGGATACAACCCTGATGCACATCTTCTATGTTTTGAAACCATGCATTATCCCTTTGTTCTGTTTAAGGGACTGCTTCATGGTCCATGTACAGGTTCCTCATGAGTAAAGTTACATGGTTTGGGATTCCCATTCTTTACAATGTTATCCATAATTTGTTATGATCCACAGAGTTGAATGAGTTTGCATAGTCAATAAAACAGGAAAACATCTTTCTGGTTTTCTTTGCCTTTAGCCAAGATCCCTCTGACATCAGCAATGATATCCATCATCCCACAACCTCTTGTGAACCCACCTTGCATTCTGGCAGGTCCATGTCTATGCTGCTGCAACTATTTTAAAATTATTTTCAGCAAAATTTTACTTGCATGTGATATTAATATTGTTTGATAATTTCTGCATTCTGTTGGATTTCTTTTGAAGGGGCACAAATATCAATCTCTTCTAGTCAGTTGGACAGGTAGCTGTCTTCCAAATTTCTTGACATAAACAAATGAGCACTTCCAGCATTGCATCCATTTGCTGAAATATCTCAATCAATTCCTGGAGTCTTGCTTTCCATCAATTCCTTCAGTCCAGTTGTGACTTCTTCTTTCAGTACCTTTGGTTCTTGATCATGTGCTATCTGAAATGGTTGAACATCAACCAACAATTTTGGCACAGTGACTCTGTGCATTCCTTCCATCTTCATTTGATGCTTCCTACATCATTCAATATTTTGCTCATAGAATTCCTCTATAATGAAATTTGAGGCTTGAATTTTTTCTTCAGTTTTTTCAGCTTGAGAAATGCTGAGCATATTCTTCCCTTCTGATTTTCTGACTCCAGGTCTTTTGCACATTTCATGAGAATACTTTACTTTGTCTTGTTGAGCAGCCTTTTAAAATCTTCTGTTCAGCTCTTTTACTTCATCATTTCTTTTAATTCACTTTAGCTACTCTACGTTCAGGAGCAAGTTTAAGAGTTTCTTCTAATATCCATTTTGGTGTTTTCTTTCCTTCCTGTCTTTTTAATAAGGTACTCTAGTGGCACAGCAGTTAAAGTATTTGGCTGCTAACCAAAAGGTTGACAGTTCAAACCCACCAGCACTCCGTGGGAGAAAGATTAGGCAGCCTGCTTCTGTAAAGATTTACAGCCTTGGAAACTCTAGGGGGCAGGTCTACTCTGTCTTCTAGTGTTGCTATGAGTCAGAATCGACTCAATGGCAGTGGGTTTGGTATTGTATTTTAAATGACCTTTTGCTTTCTTCATGTATGATGTCCTTGATATCGTCCCACAACTCATCTGGTCTTTGGTCACTGGTGTTCATTGTATCAAATCTATTCTTCAGATGGTCTCTAAAATCATACATAATCAAGTATGTATGTTGACTCTCATGGACTTGTTTTAACTTTCTTCAGCTTCAATTTAAACTTGCATGTGAGCAACTGATGGTCTATTCCATGGTCAGCCCCCAGCCTTGTTCTGACTGATAATATTGAGTTTGTCCACTGTCTCTTTCCACAGATGCATTCAATTTGATTCCTGTGTGTGATATCTGGCATGGTCCGTGTGTTTGTCGTTGTTAGGTGCTACTGACTCAGTTTAAATTCATAATGACCCAATGCACAACATAATGAAACAATGCCTGGTCCTGCACCATCCTTAGAATCACTGCCATGCTTCAGCCCACTGTAACAGCTACTGTGTCAATCCATCTCATTGCAGGTCTTGCACTTTTGCACTGACCCTCTACTTTACCTAGCATGATATCTTTCTCCAGGGACTGGTCCATTCTGACAACATGACCAAAGTATGAAAGACAAAGTCTGGCCAACCTCACTTCTAAGGAGAATTCCAGCTGCCCTTCCTCCAAGACAAATTTGCTCGTGCTTCTAGTAGTCCATGTACATTCAGTATTCTTTGCCAACACCACTATTCAAAGGCACCAATTTTTCTGTGGTCTACCTAACTCATTATCCAGGTCCACAGGCATTTGAGACTATTGAAAGTACCATAGCTTAGGTCAGGCACACCTTAGTCTTAAAAGTGATATCTTTGCTCTTTAACACCTTAAAGAGATCTTTTGCAGCAGATTTGCCCAATACAATACATCATACAATTTCTTGACTGCTACTTCTATGGGCATTGATTGTGGATCGAAGTAAAATTAAATCCTTAACAACTTCTTTTTTCTCCATTTATCACAATGTGGATAGTCACTGTTCATGGTATTGAAAAAAAATATTTGCAATGAGTAAGTCATTGGTCTAACAAAATTCTATCATGCAATTTCAGGCATCATTTCTGTATCACCCAGGACATATTTTCCAGCTACCAATGCTGCTTCTTTGTTTCCAACTTTTGCTTTCCATTCACCAGTATTTATCAATGCATCCTGACTGCATGTTTGGTCGATTTAAAACTGCAAAGTTGGTAAAAATGTTAAATTCCTTCATCTTTGGCTTTAGTGGTTGGTGCGTAAATTTGAATTATAGTAGCATTAACTGATCTTCCTTGTAGGCATATGGATATTATCCTATCACTGACAGCATTATGCTTCAGGATAGATCTTGAAATGTTCTTTCTGATGATTAATACAATGCCATTTCTCTTTACTTTGTCATTCTTATTACTCAGTTTGTCATACTGTGGTGATTTGCATGCTGCTGTGATACTGGAAGCTATGTCAGCAGTATTTCCAATACCAACTGGGTAACCCATGGTGCATAGGTTACAGCAGCGCTTCCAGACTGAGACATATTAGAGAGAAGGACACGACAGTCCACTTCTGAAAAAAATAGGCTACTATAAACCTTAGGAGCTCTGGTAGCATAGTGCCTAAGGCACTTGACTGCTAACCAGAAGGCTGGCGGTTGAAACCCACCAGCCACTCCTCGGAAGGAAGTTTGGGCAGTCCTACTTCTGTAGTGATACTGCCTTGGAAACCCAAGGAGGGGTTGCTATAAGTTGGGGCCAACTCGATGACACATAACAACAACAACACTATAAACCTTGTGAATAGCAAGGAAACATTGTCTGATATAGCGCTGGATCATGAGCCCTTCAGGTTGGAAGGCACACAAAATACGACTGAGGAAAAACTGCCTCCTCAAAGTAGAGTTGGCCTTAATACATGGGTGGAGTACAGCTTTCAAGACTTTCATTTGTTGATGTGGCATAACTCAAAATGAGAAGAAACAGGTGCAAACATTTATCAATAACTGGAACATAGAATTATGAAGTATGAACTTAGGAAAATTGGAAGTTGTCAAAACTGATTTGGACCACATAAAGATTGATATCCTAGGCATTCCAAAAGCAAACCAAACCCACTGCCATTGAGTCAATTACAACTCAGTGACCCCATTTGTTTTCCAAGGCTGTAAATCTTTATGGAAGTAGATTGCCTCATTTTCCTTGCATGGAGTAGCTGGTGGGTTTGAACAGCCAACTTTCTGGTTAGCAGGCAAATGCCCTACCCACTATGCGACCAGGGCTCCTTATCCTAGGCATTGTTGTTGTTGTTGTTATGTGCCATCGAGTCAGACCCGACTCATAGCGACCCCTTCTTGGGTTTCCGAGGCAGTATCACTACAGAAGTAGGATTGCCCCATCTTCCTTCCGAGGAGTGGCTGGTAGGTTTGAACTGCCAGCCTTCTGGTTAGCAGTCAAGTGCCTTAGGCACTATGCTACCAGAGCTCCTTATCCTAGACATTAGTGAGCTGAAATGGACTAGTACTGGCCACTTTGAATCAGACAATCATATGGTCTACTATGGTAGGAATGACAAATTGAAACTATGCTTACATTTCTTTTAATATATGTATTGAAAATAACCTGTTAAAATAGTAAAACTGAAGGATTCTTGAAAATGGCACTATGTTCTATGTTTAAGAGTTCATAATATGCCATTTGGCCTTATCTTTGGAATACAGAAGCAGTTCAGACCGCAACATTATAGTATTTTAAATGTTTGTACAATGAACATGGCATTTTACTATCTAAACTTTCTCTAGCTTATAAACAAATAATATTACTCAATATTCAGCATGTACTTACAGGAAAAAGACTAAAAACAAAATCCATAAAGTCCAGCGACCTGTAACAAGATGGTTAATTGTCAGTGACCTGCTGCAATGGCTTATATTTCAAGAGAGCTATGACTCCTTCTCCCTTGGGTAACAATTAGCCAACCACTGGCCATAATTAGTGTCGTTGTTGCTGTTTGCCGTCGAGTCAGACCCAACTCACAGCAACCCTCCTTGGGTTTCCGAGGCAGTATCCCTACGGAAGTAGATTGCCCCATCTTCCTTCTGAGGAGTGGCTGGTGGATTTGAACCACCAGCCTTCTGAATAGCAGTCAAGTGCCTTAGGC